TGAGAAAAAACTATGTTATCTGACAAATTTACACAAATGCTAACCACAAGTAGAAAAAGTAGATTACACGAACGTACAAATAACTCAATCCGAATTTAGGAAGGAGGTCTTTAATGAGAAAAGGATTACTCAATCTTCCCATTAGGAGTCACTCAGACAAAATTTGAGAGGAACAATCAAGACAGAAACAACAATAACAGAAAACAAGCAACATAATTTAAAGTCTGCCCTCAACTAAGACTCCGATGACCGATAGTTGACATCATCAAAACAACAAAAACTCCATAATTTTAGTACCAGATAGTCAAGGACTTCAATCATTCAATCCATAGTGAAAAGCATAACTGCATTCAGCTATGCCAGCTATGTTTGAATGTTTCCAATAACTACTCATATATGCTCATAGACACTAGAAATCTAGACCCAGATTAAAAACGATAATTATAACGAGGTAATATTCATTCTCAATCAACACAACAACTAAAACAAGCATTACCACAAACACAAAATCATCATCCAAACTCACCCAACATCAGGTTGGCTCTTGAAAATTGTATGATCAGGCAGCGCACTAACATGGAAAAAGGGACCCAAAATGCTAATCATTTCAATGACACGTCCATTCAAGTGAACCCCTTTAGGAATCCACCATGGATGATTAACCAGGCTCTTAGCACCAACAGGGAGTTTAACCAAATACGATAAAGCTCTCAAAGGTTGTTGAAAATTTCCCAAAACAGAAACTTTCAAAACACTCCTTAAATCCTCACACAACCCTTTTAAGAAACTGTCATTAGAAAACAAATCAGGATTCCCAAGATGAATCCTAGCATAAGAAACAGCCAACTTCTTTGCCTGTTTAGCAGCAGATTCCATCTCAGAGCGCAGAGTTTTATCTTTCATGTTGGAAATCTTCTTGGTTTCTTCATGGGCACGCTTGTAACAACCAATGAGAATTAAAAGGGGGTTCCGAATTTGGGAATTCGCCAGAGAGACGATCAATCAAAACCCTCTCCATTAGATCACGAGAAAGTAAAAGAAGTTTGCCTTCACTTAAGATCTCAGCTGCTGTCATCTCTAGGTAAACAACCCTTGGATCAGAAGACGATGGATTTTCTGGGTTTTCTTTCAGGGCTACAAGGAAGATTTTCCTAAGGATTATATCCTCTATTTTTGGGGTTTTCGGGAAGCCATAGCTTAAAAGAAAACAAAATAATTTTTTTGCAGAACCTAAAATTTCTGAAATGATATACCCTAAAATGAGGGAAAGATGAAACAAGAAAATAGAGAAAAACGAGACATACCTGAGAAGACGACCGCCCGTCTCGTCAGTGAGAAGGATTCCAAACAGTTGTCGGTGTAGAGCAATGACGAGAGAAAGAATTTACGGCGTTCTCTGTGTGGAGCAAGGGCTGTGAGAAATTTGGATTTCGACTTACCCTTTTCTAAACGGTAAGTCGAAATACCGTGTTTAAGTCAAAGTTTTCCATTGACAGTAAAACGTTTTACGTTGACTTAAGAGTTTTATGCGAACCAAACACTCGATAACAGGAAAAACATTTTCTGTAAATTGTTTTCCCGTTCCAAACAGACCCTCAATTTAAAATTTATAAGTCCATAATTTACATAAATACAATAAGGTTTATTTACAAAACTGGCCAGAGCGTATACTATTTAAACCGTTAATTACATGCCAACCACATTCGATATAGCAAAAACCTAAGGTTTAATTCTTTTCTAATCTGATCTTCTGAAAGGAGATGTTGTCATGACTTGCTTAGCTTTGCTCTTCTTGCTTCTCTGAACCTACGTGTGAAACACTCACACGCTAAGTCTTCGACTTAGTGAGACATATAATGCATAATTGGAACATTAAAACATGTAATTACATAATTAACTTATATGAACATAATAAGTACAAAAACCATCATACACTTCACCCCAGCAAGAACATGTAATATTATGCACTGTTCATTCATGTTATCTCTTTTAATATCTCATGGTACATTCTTGAGAAATAGAATCCTAAAACACTTAGACATATTCTAAATATATCATAAAATCATATAAAGAAACTATGGAACATCTCATATAACAAAAGCATATATGCCTATATATATATCATCATCATCATCAACATCATTATCATTATCATTATCATTCACTATTCATTTATATCATTTCTTTTAATAGCCCATGTATATCATTGAAAACTTAAGGTATGTGAGTGTATTGAGGTTGTGCATAAATGTTGTCACCACAGCTCGTATAAATTACACTGAAGTGCCGCGTAGAAATTGCACCGAAGTGCAGCATAGAAATTACACCGAAGTGCCACATAGAAATGTCTCGAAGGACCACATAGTATTGTCCCGAAGGACTGCATAGAACTCTCGACTCTTGACATGCCAATTATACCCTTAGCTCTCATATCACATACTTATGGGTTGTACCATTTATGCATTTCACATATTCGTATAATCACGTAGTTCAATATCACATAGACATATAAGCACATAGATCCTTATCACATAGCTTATATCACATGATCATATAATCGCTTAGGTCAATAACACATAGCTTATATCATATTCTCATGTAATCACATAGGTTAATATCACATAACTTATATCTTGTTCTCATATATCCGCATAGATCAAGTAACGCATAGGATAACATATAACACATAGTTCATGTATAACAATGCATGTACTCATGTACACATAGAAACCATATCAATATACACTTGTATTCATGAAATCATATAATCAAACATTGGAAATATACTCATCGCAAATCTTCTTTTCATATGATCATATTTAATAATACCATGCACTCACCTTGGCCTCACTAGTCAAAACAAAATACTTATAACTCTTGCATACTCTTATAAGTTCGAACCGTCCGGAACTCGCCTTCGTTTAATATGTACACAATAGTACGATTGATATAAATATCATAATTTGTATCACTATAATCAATCATTAATAACATAAACTGAACAAAACATTAATTCCAAATTTCAATATGAATAATATCGGTACCCTAACTCCAGTACTGATACTTCCCTATCATGGTATCGATAATATATTTCAGTATCGATACCTTTTTTACATTTGGAAATCATCCTTAAAAATGGAACCGATACTTAAACATCGGTATCCATACCCGTAGTATTGATGCTACTACTTCGGTATCGATACTCTTTAAAGGATTCACCAACTTTTACCTTATGGTATCGATATTGTTCATCCAATATCGATACCCAGACCAAGATATCACTCATTTTTTCCTTGAAGTATCGGTACTGTTCATACAATACCGATACCTCTTGCCCAGAACTTACTCTTTTCATCTCGAAAATTAACCAAAACTCAGCTAAAATCCTCACTTTATTCTTCTTTAAAGCCTTTAAACTCAACTACACTTATTCAAATCAACTTACATCCCTTTAATACCTCTGAACATCCAAAATCTCATAATATCACTTGAAACTAAGAATCTTACCAAATATTTCACATGTTCTAAATCCATTTCTAACACTTTAAATTTCTTATTTCAGCTCATGACAAGTCAAATTTCACTTCAAAATCCATTTATTAACTCTTTCTTATCAAATCACTTAAAAACCCTTTTTATTCAATCTCCCGTAACTTGCAAATCTTTTTGTTTCTACTTCTCTTTAAGTTTCCTTAAACTTTCCTAACATCCCAAGAATCAAAACCACTCAAAACTTACAAGAATTAACCAACTGAAAGCATTCTTACTTTAGCTATGAAGCTCACGGTGAAAGAATGAAGAAATGATGAAGAAAAATTCTAGAGTTCTCTGATTTTCTTTTTTCTCCCTTACTCCACGTGGATATATATAACACCAACAATGAGTTTTTTATTCATTTTCTTATCAAATGACCATTATACCCTTCCATTCTTCCTTCTTTGCTATTTAATCTTACACAAAGATATTCAAATAAGTCCCTGAACTTTTTAATTTTTTCAAAATTAGACACAAAGTTTTAAAATCTTGTAATTTAGTCAATAGCCTTGGGGTCGTGGGATCGAGTCCCACGGAAGGCATTTCATAATTTGGAGGTCTCCTACGGAAGCTGCTCGCAATCTAGCGTTGGGGGCAGCCTACTATCCTACCTCCCCCTTACCCCATTACATATGTGAATAAGGGTCAGCTATTTTTTTTAATTTAGTTAATAGCCTGTTTTTGGGATGTTAAAATCATAGATTACATATGTACTTTCAATTCCATTTTTTATAACAAATTTTCTATTTTTTTCAATTTAGTTCCTTAATTTTTGGATGATTTCCATATTTCTTCAATTCATCATTCATTTTAAGTAATTTTTTTACCAAATTTAAACCACATGCTCCTCTACCACTATAGAATACCTATGTAACTTTAATTCTTATTTCTTTACTAAAAATATACTCTCTTTTCAATTTAATACTTTAAATTTTTTATTTTACTAAATTTAGTCTTTTGACTACAATTGTTTACATCAATTCTTTGACTCATTTATACTCCTATTAATATTTTATCCTCAAGATACATTCTTTGAAATATAATATTGTAAATATATTTTATAATTTTATATTGTATGTGATATATTAAATAACATTGTAATGTAAAAAGAATATGAATATATATATATATGGTTAGAAAAGTAAAAAAATTGGAATAAACCCTTATTATAATACTATAAATAATTATAATTAAATTTGCATAAAAACTCGAACAAATCAACTTAAAAAAATTCAATTTAATTCGAATTAAAATCTCATCAATTTAAATAACTCAAATTTTTTTATTCAACTCGAATAGACATATTCACCTCAAAACCCTACCAATAAAAGCGCGCATCACTAGTACGTGGACAATGTTCCGCTTTCATCAGCGCCTTCCCCACGCGCTCCTTGTTCGCTCGTACACACACTCTCCAGCACATTTCCGTATTAATACAAATTTCATTAATCATTCTTTCCTTCTCTTTCTCCTTCCCTTTTTCTTTCACAGGATTCGATTTTTCTTTTTTTTTTCTTCATCAAACCCTAACCCTAACTCTGGAAATAAAGCCAAAAAACTCTGTGGACAATTTTTAGAATAACGGGTCGGCTCTGAAACTTTCCTTCTATGGATTCTCAATTCGATACGGCCTCGCAACCCGACCCTGCCACCGACGCTTACACCTTCCTCGAATTCAACACCCAAGGCGAGTCCGATTTCGAGTACACGGACTTCCGCGATACGATTCGTTCTTGGCCGACACCCTCCGACGCCACTGCCGCCGATCGCTCCGCCTCCGACCACCATTCGGACACTGCTGTATCCTCTTCTCCCTCTACCGCTTCAAAAGGCGCTGTCCGTAGCTCTGCGAGCAATAACAACAGCAATAGCAATAGTGGGGCCGTGGTCGATGCCTTGGCGACGGGAATTAGTGGATTGAATTTCGAGGAGACGGTTGGGGATGAGGATGGCGGTTATGAGTATGGAAAAGGGGATTTCGCTGAGCATGCTTGTCGATATTGTGGGGTTTCCAATCCGTCTTGCGTGGTTCGCTGCAATGTTCCTTCGTGTAGGAAGTGGTTTTGTAATTCAAGAGGGAATACGTCGGGATCGCATATTGTTAATCATCTTGTGAGTCCTTACCCCTCCTCCCTCTCCCGGCACACACACACACACACACATTCATTGATGCATGTTCTAATAAAATAGTGCGGTCATTACTCATTAAGTTTAAACCAACTTGCTTTAGATTTGTATGTTGTGTACTTAGGCTATGGAAAGCATGTTAGGGTGTTGACTTTAGGATTTTGTTGAACTTATTCTATGTGTGTTTGCGTATTGACAAAGTAGATGATTCATATCATTGTTAAAGATACTTGTTAGATAGATGGTTCAATTTTCCTATCCAATTAATAGATGCAGTTTTGGATGTTTAAACTAGGTAATTCTGATAGAAATTTTGACTCAATAGCGAAGCTCAAGATTCTTGGTAGGAAGATATGTCTCAGTTACGTGGCTACTTGAAATTATGGCATTATCTAGTGCCTTACCTTCCTCCTGAAGCTGTTACACACTGCACATGCTAATACTTGCGAGATTTCCCCCCTCTTGAATGAATGGTTTACTTACAAGGCAAAAAGAGGTTACATTCTCAAAAAATATTCAGACAGGTCTTATGTTTGCTTGTGGCTCATACGACCTGTTTTGATAGTTGTTTATAGAAGGATGATATAAAGTAATCCCAAGTCTGGCCTTTGTTCTATACCACAAGACAAACACTTTTCTTGTTGTAATTGCAACATGGTTAGAATTTTTCTTTGCTTTAGGAAAAATATTTTTATACATTCACACCTGCTAAGAATCACTGTTGATTGTTGCCACTGTTCTCACCCATGATATAATAATTTCTCTCTCTAGATTGGGGGTCTGTTGTCTGCGGTTTTTTTCTGTATGCCATACCTGATTGCTCTCTTTCTTCATTCAATATACTTGTCATTCATGAACCGAGAAAACCTGACAACTGTTTGCTGCTTGCTTGACTAAGTAAGTTTTCAAAATTTACCTTGCTACTCAAGCTTGCCTAGGCAAGCACTTTCATGTAGCCATGGTGTTATTCTACTCTTGGTTTAAAAAAGCGCGCATCAGGCGCGCCTGATGCATGATGCGGCCGTTGCGATGGTCAAAATGCATCTGGCAGCCTGATGCGGTAGGGGGTACATAATGCGGTCTGATGCGGTAGGGGGTACATAATGCGGTCTGATTCGATTATTGATTTGGTGTGAGCTAAAGATTAACAGCAACAAATACAGATAAAACCCTGACCTGGTTCGAGTTGGTGTGAGCTGGAACACCACTGAGTCAAGTCGAGTTGAATACTTCATTGTTAAAAAACAGATCTTTGAAGGTGAAAAAGCAAATCTTTTATGAAAATTCCAAAAAAGGAACAGATTTTGACATTTGGGTTGTGAAGATAGCTCACTCTAGTAAACCAAAACAGGGTTCGCAGTGCCTCAAGGAAAAGGAAAGTTCTAAGAGAAACAATGGGGTTTCTTGACAGAGAAAAATGTGTACTTTTTAGAGAGAGAAAGAGAAGATCCAAAAGCTGTGCTTTGTCATAGACGATTGGTCGGGGATGATATGCTTTGCTGGAGGTAGAAGAAAATGGAAATGTTCAGGGGTAGAATGGGAATACTGAACAAAGTTGACTGCAAATATTGAAAATGGTGAAGCATAAGAGACGAACATTACATCGGTTGATGATATGATTCGCTGAGATTTACAAAAATATCCTTTTATGTTCTTGTTGTGTTCGTATTGGTACAAATATGTGTATAATATTAAGGGTAAACTACACGTTTAGTAATTAACTATAAGTTTTGGTCTATTTTAGTACTTAAATTTTTAATTGTTTTTAAAATCATATCTAGAGTTTAGTTTTTATTTCATTTTAATACTCCGTTTAAAATTTAACGTTAAATTTTGAAATTCTTTTTGAAAGTTTAGGTATTAAAACGTCCAAAACTAATAGTTTGGGTACTAAATGTGTTAAATTTTTAAAGGCATAATACTAAAATGAAACAAATAGTTTAGGTTCTAAATATGTAATTTACCCTAATATTAATATATTTTTTAATTTTTTCTTTTAATTTATATTTTCATGACCGCTACAATATTAAAAACTTTGCTTGAACATTTTATCACGTCAGCAAGATACATTAAACTAAATATGTCTTTTGAAAAATACAACTCGAATAATATATCTTTATTTCATGTATAAAAATATTTTTTCTAAATATTCTTTTAACTGTTATTTTCTAAAAAATAAAAAAATTTACACAATTTACCCTTATATTTTATATATATTGATGGGATTTTGACCACTATTTAAACAAAATACAAAATGAAGTAGAGTTGATTTGTCTTTTGGTTGTTTTGATTTTCCTACGTGTACTTGTCTATTATGTTATTCAACATTTATGAAGTACTATTAACTACTTTTGGTATTAATTGAAGTATTTTTGATATACAAGTATTTGCAAGGTATAAAATTAGTTCAAAAGTATTTTTTTTGTGAAAATTGACGCATCGGGTTCGTGATGCGAGCGCATCACGCATCGGCTCCCGGGACACTAAATGCATCAGAGCGCATCCTGCATTTTAAAACCAAGATTCTACTTGTCATTCATGAACCCAGAAAACCTGACAACTATTTGCTGCTTGCTTGACTGAGTAAGTTTTCAAAATGTACCTTGTTATTCAAGCTTGCCTTCGCAAGAACTTTCATGCAGCTGCGGTGTTATTCTACTTTTCATTCATTAACCCAGAAAACCTGACTACTAGTTGCTGCTTGCTTGACTAAGTTTTCAAAATGTGTACCTTGTTACTCAAGCTTGCCTAGGCAAGCACTTTCTTGTAGCCATGGTGTTATTATATTTGAAAAAGTTCCCTCAAGTTGTCTACCTGCTGTAGCCTGATGCGCATATATTTGCATCCAAGCTTCTTTTAGTAAATATTTATTTGTTGTTAACTGATAAATTGAGTATGAACAAGAGTTATAGATTACCCAGACTGGGATGGTCACTAGGTGCTGTTGATTAATGAGTTTGATTTTTGTTCCTCTGTAGGTACGAGCTAAACACAAAGAAGTTTGCCTTCATAAGGATAGTCCTTTGGGAGAAACAATTCTTGAATGCTACAATTGTGGATGCAGAAATGTTTTCCTTCTTGGTTTTATATCTGCTAAGACAGAGAGTGTTGTTGTTCTTCTTTGTAGAGAACCTTGTTTAAATGTTAATGCTTTGAAAGATATGAATTGGGACTTGAGTCAGTGGTGTCCACTTATTGATGATAGGTGCTTTTTACAGTGGCTAGTTAAGGTTAGTATTTCTCCAATCACATGAAAATGACCTATGTTTAAGGGCTTTCTAATACATTTCAGTTATATAGATCCCATCTGAAAAAGAACAGTTAAGGGCGCGACAAATAAGTGCTCAACAAATAAATAAGGTAGAAGAACTTTGGAAGAAAAATCCTGATGCTGCTCTTGAAGATCTTGAGAAGCCTGGTGTAGATGATGAGCCGCAGCCTGTGGCCTTGAAGTATGAAGATGCTTATCAGGTTCCCACTTTTCAATAATTACACCATTTTTCTGTGTTTTACTATTGTGAAAAACAAGAAATTTCGTATTATAATGTGGTTTATTAATTAAGTTGGTTCCTTTGCAGTATCAAAATGTTTTTGCTCCACTCATCAAGCTTGAAGCTGATTATGATAAAGTATGTATATGGTGTACAAACTTCTTCTCTCTGTTTAAGTGCCTTCATTTTTATTGCCTATGCAATATCCTTTTATTTCTTAAATATAACCTTCATGTGTAAATGAAAAATTTGTTTTCTGCAGATGATGAAAGAATCTCAAAGCAAGGATAATGTTACAGTTCGATGGGATATTGGGTTAAACAAGAAACGTGTTGCATATTTTGTCTTTCCAAAGGTTATTTATCAATTGTTGTCAAAATTTCTTCCATTACCTTATGGTGTTCAACCCCCCGCCCAAATGAAAAGGTCTGTTTTAGTTTTTAAAGTTCATAAATGTTAAACCTGATTTTCTGGTTCTGTAGGAAGACAATGAGCTGCGTCTAGTACCTGGTGATGAGTTGCGTCTACGTTATTCAGGAGATGCTGCACATCCAGCATGGCATGCTGTTGGGCATGTGGTAGGTGTCACTTTGAGTGTGCCCATTTGATTCTTATGTTGATGTATGCCTGTACACAGGACATTGATTCTATATATTGTTTGTATAAAACCTGATTTTGTGGTGTTACTAACTAAAGTTTATGCATCTGGCTTACTCTGAGAAATGTACCATGGAATGATCTTTTTGTTGTTTCAGATCAAACTAACGGCGCAAGAGGAGGTTGCACTTGAGCTCCGTGCTAGTCAGGTAGTTTTGATATTTCACTTTTGTTGGTTGTCTTTGGGCAGGTTTTTAAACATTGGGCTTATTTTGGTACAGGGGGTTCCTGTTGATGTGAACCATGGGTTCAGTGTTGATTTTGTCTGGAAGAGTACAAGTTTTGACCGGATGCAGGGGGCAATGAAAACATTTGCAGTAGATGAAACAAGTGTCAGTGGGTAGGTTTGCTGACTTTGTTTCTTTTTTATTTGCTTGTAACCTTGATTGTTATGGAAACTAGTGTCATATGTATTTTCCATTTTCATGTTAGTATTTTCTTTTGCTTCATGTGCTATGGTAGCATTTCATTGATAAAGGAAGTAAGCGATTTTTACTTTCAGAAAGAAAGAAAAAGATTGTTGTGTTTAACTGACTTGCAGTATGCACAACTTTGATATTATATTTAGTATACTTATCTGGGTAAAGTTTCACATGTATATTTTAATTTTGGTTGGGTATAGGTTTTTTGACAGATGTAGGTGGTTAGATATAGGTTAGGCATGGGCTGAGGTGTTTTTTGTATCACATCAAGTTTTATCATAAATTACTTGTTCTGTTCAGTTAGATGCAGGCTAGGCTTCATGGATATATTTTTTTTTTCTCTTATTATTCAAGGAAAAGTCGTCCAGTTTAGTTTTAGCTATCTGTGTCGCTATTCATATCAAAGGTCATGTATCTGTTGAAATTCAATTGTTAGTGCTGTCTATATCAATTAATTGGTTTATTTCTTGCAGATATATATACCATCACCTGCTTGGACACGAGGTTGAGGTTCAGATGGTCCGCAACACACTGCCTCGTCGTTTTGGTGCCCCTGGACTGCCAGAATTGAATGCATCCCAAGTACCACACTTTTTTCGTTTGCTGGTCTTCATTTTTTGTTATATGACCTTTTTGCGCATCATGCTGTGTTGACCTCCTTCTGTTGGGCAGGTTTTTGCTGTAAAGAGTGTTCTTCAGAAGCCTATAAGCTTGATTCAAGGTCCTCCTGGCACAGGAAAAACTGTTACTTCTGCTGCCATTGTATATCACATGGCTAAACAGGGTCAGGGGCAGGTAAGAACTCAAATTCAATCTTTGTAGTTCAGCTTTTATTTTGTCCCTGTTTCTGATATCTCATTATCTTACCAGGTTCTGGTCTGTGCTCCAAGTAATGTGGCTGTTGATCAGCTAGCTGAAAAGATAAGTGCCACTGGGTTAAAGGTAGAAAAGTTGAACTCTGCTTGTGGTTATGCTAATTGCATTGACAAATTTTTGCTTTATTTAGGGCTTTCTTAATCATCTTCCCTTTGCTTTAGTTGTTCCTTTTTCTGTGCAAGTTATTTTTTATGCGTAGGTGTAGCTTGTTACCAAGACATAAAATATTTGGAAAAGGAGTATGCTGTTAAAGAAGCCAAATTATAGGAAGCTTATTTCCCATCTTCATTTTTTTTCTTTGTTATGTAATTAATTAACAAAGAATTGTGATGGGCTCTGATGCTTGGACTCCGGAAAATGGATGCCATACACGACCTGACACAAACAAGGACACAGGATATGTGTTGGATTTATCAAACTTTTCTGAACGAGTGAGAACTGAGAAGAGAGAGAAAAAGAATAACAAAACCAGAAGGACGAGAAAAAGGAAAAGAAAGAAGGGCAGTATGAAAGAGAAAAGTAAAGGAAAGGAAAAATCTGATGCCAATCTTGAATACCAAGAAATAAAAAGCTGATTCTACAGATAAGTGTAAAAACTTGAAAAAAAAAAAAAAAAACTTGAAAAAGCATCTGGCCTTTATATCAAACCCAATTGTCTTGGCTTAGTTTTGAAGTCCCAAAATAATTTTAATGAATTAAATCCAATCTAAATGATAATTTTTTTAAAAAAAATTGTTCATATATTTTTTTTGATAGGAAGTTAAGGCCTTGTTTAAAACCCCCTTCATGATTAACGGAACACCGATTGGTGTTCCTTAATCAGCGGAAGGAGGAAAAGAGTGCCTCATAATTCATTAATAAGTAGAAAAATACATAATGTTTAAAACTAACAAGCCCCTTACAAAAAACCCGAAACACAACAAGAACACCTCTTACGCTCAATAAAACAAATCCCAACCCATCAAACAATAACTATCCAATACCAGCCTTAGCTAAGCTATCGGCTTCTATGTTTGCCGTTCTGTCAATCCATTTGATAGCTCCTTCCCAAACTCTTATCATGGCAACAATCTCTTTAACAATATGAAGGAAAACACTAGGACAACAATCTAAATTCTTAACCCAATCCACAGCAAGCTTGCTATCAGATTCAACAATCCACCGATTCTTAAACCTCTGAAGTCATGCTCAAAGAAGAGTACACCCCTCTTCAAAGTTGGAGGTCCAGGATCTGCAGATTCTTTAAAAGAACCCAAAATTTTACCAGCCTCATCTCTTAGTAAACCACCCACACCACTCTTTCGCCAATCATTGCAAACTGCTGCATCAACATTCAGTTTTAGATAACCCTTTGGAGGAGGAATCCAGGACACAATATTAGTAGCCGAATTTCTGGAAGAAGACCAGAAATCTGCAATAGAAGGGTCACTTATCAGGGAATCTTTAGAAATAGTAACCTCATTGAACTTAGCTAAGAACCAATAAGCAAGCCTTAGCCTAGCCATGAAAAATAACTCAATGTGATCCAAGGACCTTCCTTCAAACACCACGGCATTCCTAAATTTCCAAATGGTCCAAAGCACCACCCCCGGAATTAAGGACCAAATAGAAGAAGAAAACTTCATGTCATTCCAAGCAAGCAAAAAGCCTTGTGCATTTCCATGAAGGACCGAACTAATATTCCAAAAACTCAAAAACTTATTCCATAGGGACCATGCCGCCGTGCAAGAGAAATATAGATGAGGAATAGATTCAATCTCTCTTTTACACAAAGGACAAGAAACATCAACAATCCCCAAACCCCTCTTTTTTGAAGCTCAAATTTAACCGCCAATTTGTTATGGGCTACTTGCCACATAAAGGTTTCAATTTTAGGAGGCATCAATCCCTTCCAAATACATTTCTCCCAGAAACTATCTTTTACCGATTCAACAAAACAAGTCTTCATACAAGAGTTAACAGTAAAAATGCCTTCCCCATTCCCTCTCCAAAGCAGACCATCTCTTGACTCGTGGGATAGGCTGAAATTATGAATGATGGCAAGAAGATTAGAAAATTGTTCTAACTCCCAATCACATAGATTCCTTCTCAACTGGACAAACCAAGACCAACCCGATGAATTAAACTCACCAAATTCCTTAATTATCCCAAACTGATTCGATGAAAGAGCATATATTCTCGGGAAAGCAGTCTTCAAAGGATAATCAAGGGCCCAAATATCTACCCAGAACCTGATTCTCTCCCCATTACCCACTTTGACTTGGAACATGCTACGAATCTTGGCACCAAACTCATCCTCTTTAAAATGATTATTAACCACCGATTTCCAAATCCAAGAAGCATTTGTAGGAAATTTTTTAGAGAAAGAAATCAGATTAGTGGCCTGATTATATTTGGAACAAATCAACCTCTTCCAAATTGAATCACTGTCATTAGCAAACTTCCAAAACCATTTCTCTAATAAGGCCCTATTCATAAAATTAAGATTTGGCACACCCAAACCACCACAACTTCTTGATTTACACACTGTAATCCAGTTGACCCAGTGTATTTTCTTAGATTCTGCCCCTCCTCCCCACAAAAAACTGGCATATCCTTGAGTTATGCATTTAACTGAATAGACACGTACTTGTGTCCGGGCAACGTGGGTGATGGGTGTACTGTTTTGTTTTATTCTTTTCCCCATTAAATGGTTTCTCTCATTTGCATCGCATTCCTAGTTGTAGCTTTTCTAGTTTTTAAGATGAACAACTGAATTACCTTTTCCCTAAACTATTTTCAGTATTGCCAGATTAATATGATCTCTCACTAGTGGATGGCTGGTGTTATTTTATATTTCAAAATTTTCTATGATGGGGTTGATGGTTCAGTAATTTGCAATAATATGTACAAAGTTGGAACACATTGCGAGCAACCTGAGAAGGTGCTTTAAAAGCTTGTAATTTTTAGAAATGTTGCACTTATGTACTTATTTTTTTTTAAGGTGCATCTTATGATGCATTAGTTATGTCGTATTTTGTGCAAAGATGATCAAATATCTTGAAACTTTTACTTGTCTCTTAATTAGTAGCTCATAATTGTTTCTTTTGTCTCAAGGTTGTAAGGCTTTGTGCAAAATCAAGAGAAGCTGTGAGTTCTCCTGTGGAACATTTGACCCTGCATTATCAGGTTTGTGGTTTCTAATTCTGTTATCTTTGCTGTTCCACCTTTGTTGTTTACAGGATTATTCATATTGGCAACTACTATGTGCAGGTTCAACATCTTGACACATCTGAGAAGAGTGAACTTCACAAATTACAACAATTAAAAGATGAACAAGGTTGGGATAATGTTCCAGTTGACAATGATAAAAAACAATTTATTCAATGGATCTTTCTTCGATGAAATGTTCCAGTAAGAGTTACTGGGACATGATCCTGCTTAGACTGTTCTTAAGTTAACTTACAGATTGTCTATGAATGCTCATGTCTTGTCTGAAATTTGAAACTTATTTATGCTGGATCCTGTAATTTATACTATTTACAGGTGAATTGTCAAGCACTGATGAGAAAAAGTACAAAGCACTGAAGCGAGCAACTGAGAGGGAAATATCCCAAAGTGCTGATGTTATTTGTTGCACTTGTGTTGGGGCTGGGGATCCTAGATTGGCTAATTTTAGGTTCCGCCAGGTTGAGTAGATCTGATATGTAATTTTCAATGATCTCTAAACAAATAAAAGTTCTCATACTTTTTTTGCTTTATCTAGGTACTTATCGATGAATCTACTCAAGCGACAGAACCTGAGTGTCTCATTCCTTTAGTTCTTGGAGCAAAGCAGGTAATGGAGGGCGAAACTTATCGAAATATGGTTTCTCTTCTTCCCCTTTAAATTTACTTGTTTGGTCTTCTAACTTGTAAATTTTTATTTAAGGTTGTTCTTGTTGGTGATCATTGCCAACTTGGTCCTGTTATCATGTGCAAGAAAGCTGCTCGTGCTGGGCTGGCACAGTCTCTGTTTGAACGTCTAATTTTACTTGGTGTTAAACCAATTAGATTGCAGGTGACACCCCTGTACATTTTGTTGGTTTTGCCCTATTTTTGTATGTAATTGCTTATAGTGAACATGTCCTTTTCATATTGTAAATGTTTATGTTTTATTTTAGGTTCAATATCGTATGCACCCATGTTTGTCAGAGTTTCCTTCTAACAACTTCTATGAGGGCACATTACAAAATGGAGTGACAATCAATGAAAGACAATCATCAGGCATTGATTTCCCCTGGCCTGTGCCAAATCGTCCCATGTTTTTCTATGTACAGGTATTGAAACTTTTGTAAGAATTGTCCCCTATTTATATTCTTCTTTATCCATAGACGTGTGTGTTAGTGGGGACAGATGAGAAAGGAAAGGACATTATATGCGATTTAATTTACCAACAGTTTACTTCATATATTCCATGGTTTTGTTTTGTAATTATGTAGTTTTGTTTTAGATGGGACAAGAAGAGATTAGTGCTAGTGGAACATCATATCTAAATCGAACTGAAGCAGGAAATGTTGAAAAGATAGTTACCACGTTCTTGAGGAGTGGTGTTGTTCCTAGTCAGGTGATCTTATGGACTTCTTTTTAAACAAATTTCTTTTCACATTGATATCAGTCAGCATTATAATTTTTCATTTAACAACTGTTTCAAAATATTACAGATTGGGGTCATAACACCTTATGAGGGACAGAGGGCATATATTGTGAATTATATGTCAAGAAATGGTGCTTTGAGACAGCAGCTTTACAAGGAAATTGAGGTTAGTCGTGGCTTTGAATTTAAAGAGTAAATGATCTTTCAATATTTTTCATACTGTAATTAACTTGTTTTTTTAATTTGTGGGGTTTATATAAGGTTGCAAGTGTCGATTCATTCCAAGGACGGGAAAAAGATTACATCATCTTGTCTTGTGTGAGAAGTAATGAGCATCAGGTTAGTTAATATATACAAGATATAGATATGATATCTAGACCTCTTCTTCATGAATGAATTTCAATTTGACTGAATATCTTTCTTTTAGCCTCATGTCAAACTATCTTTCTATTTTGAGCATCCATAAGTTTGTTAAAAGGGTTTGTTGCTATGTTACTCGGACTCGTGTGTAAGTGTTGGACACGTGTATGGTTAGATTTTTCTAAGTTTTCCCTCAGATTTCAAGGATCATTAGAGGTCATATCCCATATCCAAGTGTCAGATATGTGTGGTGGACATGGTTCTTCGTGAAAAAAGAAGAGTCCTAGCAACATATGTTTCCTGTGGTTTATAATTTTAGGCCACCCTCTGATCATGATGTTCATTCTAAGTTTAATACTAATACCATAACCTTCTCTGCCTGTCTCTTTTTGCTTCAATATGAGAAAAAACTAACATGTACAGTTTTATCCAATCTTTTTCAGGGCATTGGATTTCTAAATGATCCTCGCAGGCTTAATGTTGCCCTAACACGTGCTCGGTATGGTATAGTAATTCTTGGAAACCCTAAGGTTCTTAGCAAACAAGCTCTGTGGAATGGTTTATTGACGCATTACAAGGTATCTTCCCGTTTGCCTTTGTAACAGTGCTATCGCTAGGGTATGCAAATGTCAAGGTCACTTATTGTTAATTGTGCCCTTAAGTATTTTTACTACTCTGATCTCTCGTCCCTTTCTGCTAAAATTTGCAGGAACATGAGTGCCTGGTTGAAGGACCCCTCAATAACTTGAAGCAGAGTATGGTTCAATTCCAAAAGCCCAAAAAGGTTTGTTTGTGAATGGAATGAAAGGAAGTGTATATTATCTGTTCAAATTTCTAGCCTTTTCTTTTGTTCATTGCTTTTCTCGATTACATTTAGTCATTAGAGGTTCTCAAGAATAATTTGAATTCAAATAATATTTGTGTTTCTTATAGATCTACAATGACCGAAGACTTTACTTTGGTGGTGGACCTGGGATTGTGCCTGGTGATAATCTTGGCTCTGCTGCTTCGTCTAATCCAAATGCTGATCGAAGAAGCAATATTGCTCGGGGTAAGCTTTTGAGCATCTTGAGTTTTCATGTTACATGTCCTTTCATTAAGGGTGGGATTGGATTGGTTCGGTTCGGCCAGGTAGGGCTATTTTGGATTTTTTGAACCGTTCATGATAAATTGATTTAGTTCAGTTTGGTTCTCAGTTGCTCCATATTAATTGTGTTTTTAGTTTTTGGATTTTATTTTGACAAAATGACAATGTTTCATATTTTTTGGACATTATTTGGTGAAGTAGCTTCATAAATATTTAAAAAAATATATTTTTTCAAGCAAATGAAAATAATTGATAATTCTTACATAACACTTTAAATTTATTTTCACTATTTGAAATATAAAAATACTTATTTTTTATTATAAAAATAAAACTTGATTAATAAGCTAAATAAAAATAGAAGTCGGCTAGGTTTTGGGTAAACCACTGATCTTAAACTGTGAACCTTAAATCATCCAAACACTATGGCTTGATTCAGCTTTCTATATTCTCGGTTTCATTACTCTGCCCTACCTTTTTATTTCATCACTTTGGAGTTTGGACACTTGCTAGTGATGCATCTTATACTGGCATGCATAATAACAGTTGTGGCTTTGGAACTTGTATTATTGTTGATAGAGATGATGTGGGCCTTCTCATGTTGCCAATTGCAGGTGCTTATATACCTCCTGGTCCACCCAATGGCACTCACAAGCCTGGAGTCCACCCATCTGGGTTTCCAATGCCTCGGGTTCCACTCCCACCCTTTCCTGGTCCTCAGCCTTATGCTATTCCAGCTCGTGGAGCTGTACATGGACCGATGGGAGCTGTTCCTCAGGTCCCTCAACCTGGAACTCGAGGTTTTGGGGCTGGGCGTGGTAATTGTGGTGCTCCTATCGGTAGTCATCCACCACACCAGCAAGGATTGCAGCAAAATGTTGGAACTATTGGATCTTCATTTAACTTCCCTCCGGAGAATCCAAACAGCCAGCCATCTGTGGGTGGTCCATTATCTCAACCTGGATTTGTTAACAATGTTCGCACTTGATCATTTCCTTTTGTTTTTTTTTTTAAAAATTTTGTACCTTCAATCCTAAAAGATGTCATGGAATTCTAAGTGTTTATCATCTATAATAGGTGCAAGGGTCAAGCCAATCTTTCCGTGATGGATTTTCAATGGGGGGAATGTCCCAGGTATTAAATCTATGCAGGAATCATCTGTGTTTTTTTTCCATGATTTGCAATTTATGTTATTGATAATTTGATATCATGTAATCACACAGGACTTCTTGGGTGATGACTTCAAAAGCCAAGGCTCACATGTCCCTTATAACATTGCTGAATTTTCAACACAGGTATACGCCCTTAACTAGTATTTTTTATTAAAAGTGTCCTCTCAGTCTGTGACATAAATCAAGTTAGGGAGGTTTATTGGAGATTGCATCTATGGGTTATTTTTAACTTGCTAAGCCCCAATGTTATGGTATAAATAAGAAGGGGAAAGAAAAGTTCAAAATGTAGTATCATGGTAATGTAGCTGGATGTTTCCTGAGGGCCTCGAGGCATTAAGAGTATTGAATATATTTAGAATAATCTGTTTTCCATAAGTTTCTCTTCTTTTTGTAATTTCCCGGAACTAGAACATGAAAGCTCCTTTTTGTGTTCCTCGCTTCTGGATTGATAGTGCGGGTTGGTTGATTTTGTGTTTGCAGGCTTCACAGAGTGGGTATGCTGTTGATTATGTTACACAAGGAGCACAGGGTGGGTTCACAGGGAACTTTCTAAACCATAATCCTCAAGCTGGATATTCTCGCTTTGGTTCTGGAAATGATTTCATGTCTCAGGTTTGCAAAAGTGCTGTGGTGTGATTAGTTCATGCTTTCTCCCTTTTTTTCTTCCTGAAAAAAATCTTTTTTTTTTAACAGGACTACATTAATCATGGATCACAAGGCCTGTTTACTCAGGTTGGCTATAATGATGCATCACATGATGATGCAGCACAAAGTCACTTTGGCATGTCTAATCCCAACCAGCTTCAGTCCCAGGTAGGTTCTTATATCATCGCTTATTGATAGAGAATTATTGACCAAAGTGAAGTTTGCTATATTTAAAACCTGCTTCCTAATTGGGATGAACTGCTAATGGGGTATAGATTAATCAAGTTTTTATGGCTTATCTTGTTAGATAACGGGCATACTGTGACATCATTTTGTATTTATGTAACATATTTTAACCTCTGTTAATTTATTTCCTGTATTAAACGTGGGGGTATGTGGCTATGTATTTGCAGGGTTTGATGAATTCTCTCTACTCACAGCCCTTTGACCACTACAACAGACAGCCACTGAACTTGCAGGATCCTCAACAGCAGCCTCCGCAGGAGCAGCAGAGCTCCCAAAACCAGAAACTTCATTATAATGGTTAAGAATAAAGATGCATATGGACTTTGATGGGTTATAGTCTTTGCAATCAGCAACTTGGTTCGCGCTGTCCTTGTTTTGCCCGAACAAACATACTACTCTGAAGACAAAAATGTTTTCCTGCTTGAGGTCACTTAAATTTCTGTCCATAAACTGTAAGAACTTTCCTTATGGTGGGAATAAATATAAAACGGTGCAAGAGTAAGATGGTTGTGGGACTGTGGAAATACGGGCAGTACATCCATGGCTGAGAAAGAGAAGGATAACCCCAAATAACTGTTTGGTGGTTTTGCATTTGTTTTAAAGGAAAGGTATTGATTCAAGAGAGCATAACATGGTAAGGTTTTGTGGAAAGGGTTGGATGTTAAATACGGGTGGCTGTTTTTTTGAGATATATGGGATATAAGACCCATTATAGGTACTGAGGCAGTTTAAGGTGAAAAATGTGTACAGTATGCTGGGGAATATGGCCTGACCCTTTTCAGCACTTCCTGAAGTGCAAGTGTACTCTTTATCTTGCGTTAGTGATATGTTACAAAAGTATTTCCAAGTGTTTGTAGACTTTACTTATATACAGGAATATTGATGGCTTTCATATGAGGAATTGGATTGGTTCGACTGACTATAAAACAACACAGTAGTTTGTGACCTTCCATAGTTTCTGCATGCTTAGCATCACCAATAATATAACCCTTTTTTATCCTATCCTCTCAATCTCAGATTGTGAAAATAAATTGTCACAACTTTTAGTCAATGGTTGGTTCATTGTTCTCTAAAGACTGATTACCAATGTTAGAATCATCTCTTTTAAAACTAGTAAAAGTAACAAACAATATAATCCAATAGGGTATTTAGGGTATTTTAGTTTATAATCACAATTCCCCGTTTCAAGTGGAATAATTCTACTATATTCAAAAGAAAAATTAGTAATTAGCTGGTATATTTCATTTGAGGTCCTGTCTCTAACCAAATTAATATTTGTCGCCAAAGTCCCAATACAACTAATATGTGGAACTAGTTTAAAATGTACAATTTGAAGTAGGTACCTAAATTTGTTCTAAACTGAATTTACTATTCTATCTTGAAGTGGTTGAGAGTAAATGTCATGAACAGGTTGTCCATATATGTTCTGAACTGGTTTGAATTGGATGCACTGCACTCAATCATCCCTTGAACTGGCTAAATCCCAAACACTGAACCGACTGATAGCATGCTCAAAATGATGATATTTAACTTATATCAAAAGAATAAAACGATATTGTATAAATGAACTTAAAACGACGTATATCAACAAAATAACCAAAAAAAAGAGGTCATTACTTCCGGAGAAATTCTTATACGAGAAACTCCTCTGTAAATCACTCTTCTATCTACCAATGCACCCAAAGGAATTTTATGCTCCCGTCGATCATAATCCATTGATAAGATAGTTGACAGACTCGCGAGATCCGTTAACCTATAAATAACAATCATGATCCTAGGCCTCTTGATACGTACACGTACTAATCAATATATAAACCCTCGTGCAAGACAAAGGGGATCTAAATTCTTCTTTCTCCTTCCTCGGTATTTCTTACATTGTTTAACATCTTCAACCTATCACTCACCATTGATACCATCGACTGTGACTCTCCACCCAAATCAGAAGGGATGAATCACTTACTACTACCACAACCCTAATTATTCCATGAACAATTGGTGCATTGAGTGTGGATATACTTCTCAATCAAAGAATAAGTTAAAATAAATCCACAAAAGAAAAAACAACCAAACCAATATTCTATCCTCTTCCTAAAATCCTTTTAATGTGTCAATTTCTTTTAGCCAATAGTAACAAATTGTGTACAACAAGGTCTATTACCAAACTTATTAGGGTGATTACGATCTAACTGGCCAATAATACTGTCGAGACTATTGATATTGAATGTGGTCAAGAGAGGGTGAATTAGAAATAAAAAATGTAAATGTTTTAGCAAATATAAGAAAAAATGATACAAGTGATTTAGAGTGGATTAATTCTCTCAATCAAATCTTCATCCACTACCTTAATTATAAAAACTATAGATATTCACAAATTCACTAATTTGAGCAACCTTACAACCGCTTAAGGTTTATACTCATAAATATTAACTATACACTCTTTTTCAAAGAGAAATTACAAATAAGTAAATTAAGAAAGATGCTTACAAGGTTGATTGTTCACACAATTCAACCTCAAACACTCTCAAGAACACTAGGAGAAAGAAATACAAAAGATGAATAAGTTAGTGTTCTACGAAAGCAAATAAATGAATTACAAATGATGACTTTTTAGCTCATAAATTGATTGCAAAAGCATTCTCTTATCTTCAAATATGTCATAGGACCTTGTTTATATAGTCTCTCATTGATTTATATTTATTAGAGTTGACGTGAGAGTTAATAAAGCAGCTGAATAGTATTTTTTCGCATTTAATGCTACATAGACCCGTTGGTATCAATACTCTAAGGTTGATATCAATAATACCTGTATTAAATACAAAAATATATTCGTTAGACCTACATTGAGTATCGATACTCTTGAGGGAGTACCATTATTCATTTAGATAGTATCGATACTCTTTTAGAGTGTCGATACTGTTTTGATATATAGTGATGGATGAAGGATTTTTAACACGTGAGAAGTATCGATACTCTTCGAGAAAGTATCAATACTATCATATGAGTATTGATACTCATATTGTAGTATTAATACCATGTTCATATTTTTAAAAGGATTTTTTCAAGTAGTATCGATACCATGAAAAATAATATTGATATTGTTCTTATGATATTGTTGAAATTGAACAACTTTAAGAATGAAACACTTAAAAATTTCTAAAATGATTCTCATTGTATGGGATTTTTTTATCAACGTGCTTAAAGAGAAAAATATTAGTTTTAAGTTCAATAACCTTTGATAAAAATAATATTAAAATTATTTTAACAATTCACTTAAAAAGAAATAAAAATATTATATAAAAAATCATCAAATTCATACTTAACAATCTTTCATTTTTATATAAGAAATCACTTTTAAAAGAGTGAAAGGAGGAAGGTAAGGAGTGGGATCACAAATAATGCCTTTGTCCCTCCCTCCAAAACCCACGTCTAGCTCTCCAAAATAAAAGGGAAAATGAAATATGATTTTCCGGGTAGTTTTGTTATACGACAACTTTAATATACGGTTAAGGAAAGGCCTCACTGAAAACATTAATATTTTTTTAACATTTCCGGTAAAGCATTACCTAAAACATTATTTTTTTATTGGAAATGTTAGTTTCGCTAACTAATTTTCGGTAGAACCTAATATTAACATTTTAGGTAGCGCCCAATATTAACATTTTCGGTAGAAAAAATAATGTTTTAAGTAACGTTTTACCGGAAATATTAAAAAAAATTAACATTTTAGATAGCGCTTTTCCTTAACCGTATATTAAGACTGTCGTACCTAAGACATCCCCTGATTTTCCAAAATGGGAAAAAATTACTTTTTGAGATTGATTGAGGCTGATTTCCATCCTAATTTGAAATCCTATATTTTTGAGATAGATTGAGTCTGATTTCCATCAAATTAGGACCAAACCTCAAAGTTAATCTCAACCTTTAATCTATTAATTCATAATTCAAGTCAAATCCAAAAATATTGAGTCAATATTTCGGAGTCATTTCATTTGCATTTAGAACAAGTACACTACGATTTTAATTCTGTAGACGCATTCAAGACAAATACACTATCTCATTTGGCAAAAGAAAAGTTTTTTCAAAAAAAAAAAAAAAAGGAAAAGAAATTCTAGATGAGGATTGATACATGTCAGACCAATCCAAATTCTTGGTTATGATGATTAAGGAGATTGTTGTATTAAGGATTAGTGTTTCTTAGAAAAAGAAAGAAATTTTAGAAAGAGTTGCGTCAAACCTGTTTAAATCTCAAATATGATGTTAAGAATTCCAGGCCTCCAGTAAGTCGTTCGAGGGTTATTCATTTAGATTCTCAAATTGGAGAGATAAGTAGAAGCCTTCACGTAAGAATTACACGAGTGAACATTAATGGATAAGAACATTTCATCATGCAATTAAGACAATGGTAGTTTTCATATGAAAAAGTAGATTTGGAATCCACGGGTACAAAGGAGAAAATTAACAAACAAGACTTGGTATCCTCGTGTACGAAGGAGCAAGATCGTCATCGAATTTTCAAACATTCTTGGGTATGAAGGAGTGAAATAGTTTCTCAAGACTTGGCATTCTTGTGTATAAAGGAGCAAATCAATAAAAAAGACTTCGGATCCTTAGGTACCAGGGCCGGTTTTGGGCCTGTGCGGGCTCCCCAACCGCACAGGGCCTCCAAATATTTTTAAGTCTTTTGTATATATATGTGTATTTAGGATGTTTGGTCCAAGTATTTTCAAGTCCAAGGCCCACATTAAATAATATTTTAGTTTTAAAAGGATTACTTTACTGTTATGGCATAGGGTTACCAAAATTTACAAGACGGCGCTGTTAGGTACAAGCAAGATTGTCATCATGTTTTCCAGCATCCTCTGGTGCGAAAGAGTGAAACAATTTCTCAAGAATTGGCATCCTCGGGTGTGAAAGAGAAAATTAACAAATAAGAGTTGGTATCCTCATGCATGAAAGAAAAGGATCATCATCACATTTTCCCAATATCTTCAAGCACGAAGGAATGAAATTGTTTCCCAAAATTTGGTATCCTCGGGTGCAAAGGAATAAATCAACAAGCATATTTAACATCCTCATATACATAGAAGTAGATATCATCTCATAAAGTATGATCGGGCTAATTTTTTGTCTTTAGTTTTTTTTCTATTATTGTTTCACAATATCGGACAAAGAGGAGCAATTGTGGATAGTAAAATTAATCCGAACCAAGACCCAATAACCAAACCTAGTTGCATAACAACCCACTTTTGTCCAAACTCGCCTGACCCAATCCAAATTAAACCTAAACCCAAAACCTATTCAGCCTAAAACTCTTCTCAGGCTGGTCTGGAGTCAAATCTGTTCAAGGCCCAAACTAAGCCTAAGCCTAAACAACCCAAATCCCAAATGGCCGAAAACCCTAATAATCTACTCTTAATCTTACCCAACCATCCACTCGACGCAAAAACTGCCTCAATCGAACACGTAACCCTCTCCCTCGTGTATCTTGACCTCTTCTCACTCGTTACCTCAAATTCCAAAAAAAATGGTCGACAACCCTTCTCAATGGTCATCAATTTTCACTTAAAAAACACCTTTCATAGAATCATAATAGACACATGGTTTTCCATCCTGGACCACACTCGATAGAGAACACTACCCTACGGTGGAGCCACGACTTGCAAAAGAGGGAGAGTGAAAAATGTAAGTATATATATAGGAAAAAAGAGAGAAAATTAAGGAATATAGTCCTCAAGATCCAAGTTGTATAGAGGCTAAGGACACTAAAACAAGCACCATATCTCAAACTCGGTTCGGTCGGACGACGGTAGTTAAGATCAGTGAAAAATGTTGAGGCATCAACATCAT